TTGTATCCTCACCAGAAGCAGGACATCTTGGTACACCAGGTGGTTGAGGTCCCTTAGAACTAGCCACTGGTGGTGGAGGTGGTCAAGGACCACCACCTGGAGGGGATGGTGGACGAGGACCAGATTTGCTGCTAGCAGGTATAGGTGGTGGAGGAGGAGGTCCAGGAGGTGGAGGGCCTGCAGTGGCAGCAGAGGATTTTGGAGGAGGTATAGGAGGCTGAGGAGGAGGATGAGCTCTGATGGGGGCAGGTGGTTCGGGAGTGAGGGGAACATCTCTGCCAGGAGGAGGTGGTAGTGGTGCATTTATATTGCTGGATTTATCAAAGGAATCAGTTGATGATTTAGCAGCAGCAGCATCAGATTCAATGCAAATATTGCTACCTAAAGATGGATTACGGCTCAAGTTTCCCAATGATTGATGACTAAGCTTCTCTTCTTTAATAGAATTTCCAAAAGCATAAGATGCATAAGAAGAGCCTGAAAGAAAATAGGTTTGAAACGAAATCAGAAATGTATAAAAAAATCATAGATATCAATGACGTAGGAGACAATGTATACTACCAGAGTAGTCACTTAAGCTTAAGCTGAGAAGGGGCTTTTCATCATTTCGCTTATCTGTAGAATGAATGATACAGCACAAGAGCAATGCTGCAGCAACAAATGTCACCACTGCAGTTACAACAACAGCAACTATAATTTTACGGTCACTGTCCTCCACCGTTTCCTGTACATTTGAACTAGAATCAGAATAGTAATCATCTGCTGAAGTCCCTGAACTTGAATCTTGTGGTGTAGGAATTGAATTTTTTTTATGTGCAGCTAGTCGATGTGATTTAGGATCTCTAAAAGGTTTGCTAGAAGGTGATAAAGTAGACAGCCCAGGGGCAGCAGCTTGGCTTGATGTATGTATATCTGCATTGCTCTGTGCAGCCGAATTCCTTCTAAAAGCATCATGTCTGAGCAATAAGGACTCAAGATATTTGGTGTACGAAATCTTAGGGTTACTTTCTTGTCCAGATACAAGATCCAAAAGATTTTTCTTTCTTATACAGTCCAATAGTGTTTGCTTCAACTGGGGATGGAGCACATCAATCAGCTTTTGAATGTTTTCTTGGGCCAAAGATTCACTCTTCATATCAATCATTCCGGGGCAATCAGGCTTTTCCTCTTGAAGACATAAGTAGGGAACTTCAAAATCTTTCTTCAAATCAATCAAATCTTGCCTGCAACCTATATACAAAATCTCACCCTGCAAACACAGAATTCAAATAGAAGTGTTGGATTTTTCGGAGGTAAGAAGGGACTTCGAGGAGAAGGGGAGAAGAACCGGTGGAGTAACCTCATTTGGTGAGGTGAGAACTCATTTTTTTCCATTCATTGTTCTACTATTATATAGCAGAAAACTCAGTACATAAAGGTAATTTCCTCACCTTATCCTTATCTAATACAAGCAAATCTATCAAACATTTAATGCAAGACTACATGAAAAGTCTTGCTTCCATTTGTGAGGCTCCATGTGGCTGTTCTTGCTGCTACTTTGCAGCCTTCCGTTTGCCTTTCATTTCAGCCTCATTTCAGCCTCATTTCATCAAATCTTGCAGCTTATCTTGCTGCACTTTGCTGCTACCGTGCTTTGGTGCAGCTCTCCCTTCTTTTCCTTTTGCTGCCACTTGTGCAGCTTTCTTTTCATTTGCTGCCACTTGTGCAGCCTTGACACCACAGCTCCAACAAGATCAATTACTTACCATGTAACACAAAGGTATCGCACTCTAGGCAATACATGAACGCACGCGCACATGCTGAGTGTTTAATGTTTGGAACTGGGTGTTCTCGTTCTGGACTAAGATAGTAAGATGCACAAATGCATGTTGTTAATTACATGTGTACAATGAAAACTCCAGTATATACCATTGCATTCATGTTACATTACAATGCAAGAGTTCTTAATTCATATACCAAGAGAGTTAAGGCTAGGTCGGTTACTTAAGATAGTTCTTAATTGTCTTGATTTCTACTCCCACGGATATGGTAAAAGCCCCCAGAGGCATTTTACGCTAAGTTGTAGTGATACAAGTTTAAAACTACCAAAGCTAGATGACAAAGCTGAGCTACTAGTAAATCTCGTCAATTTATTGACAAAAATGCATTATAAATAGTATTTTCCTATAAAGATTTGCACTTTAAAATAATAAAAAAATAATAAAAAAAGATGAAAAAAGAAAAGGCATAGTCTGAAAAGGCATACTCTCTTACCATGTTCTCATCAATCTCCCCAGTTAAAAGCTCCACTAATCGACTGAGAAACATTTCCTCTCCCAGCCTCTTGTCATCCGTGCTCACAACCAATGAGACACAAAGCAGAATTGCAGAAAGATTGAAACAGATTGTGCCCATTACACCCATTTGTCCTCACATCAGCATCACCGGAACGTACAATACTTCTCATTTCATTAAATACCTAAACCCTCAACACAAGCAAACCCCTAGAATTCTTTACCATAACAGAAAAACGAACACCTAAAAATCCTAAACTTTTTAACATTTGTCACCAACCGTAATCTAATGTCTCCAAGGGCCATACAAATGTACCAAATGCCAACAACCATACACATTCTTATATATCCTGCCTTAAAAATTGGAACTTTGATTCAGAACAAAGTAAACAAGAAAAAACCCAGAATTTATCTTCTCTCAGAACGCCAGAAAAATCAAATCTTTTCTAATTTAATGCAAAAAGCCAAAAATTGAAAACAAAACTTTAGCCATATACCTGCCCTTCTTTCGAAAGTCTCTAATTTGTGAATGCGACAAAAATTTGTCCTTTGATTATGAATTGCGACCGGATCCACTCAAAAGCAGCTCAAAAAAATCAGCTGTTTTTTATGGACGTAAAAAGAGTTGACAAAAAGTTAATTTCAACCCCAGACGCCAGGATTTCGCCATCATTTTATTTATTTTTAGTATTTTTTTTTAAATCTTTCTTTAAATTGAAATCTCAAATCGTTAATTCTATTTCACGTTTGGATTAAAAGAAAATGGATTATAAACAGCAATTTTTATATTTGGTAAAAAATGTTAGTCCCTTTCCTCATTAGTAAAAGATTAATTAGTTATGATAAGTAGTTAGTTATTATGGGTACTCAATTTGTAACAAACTAGTTTACAAAAACCGTGCCCAGTGGCAAAGAATTAAGTCAGCAATTGTATTTATAGCATGTCCATTCTTCCTAAGCCTAGACCAAACCCCTCCCGAATTTCGCACTTGGCTTAAGATTCTGCACCTCTTGAAGCAAAATCAAGATACCCAGATCCTAAAAATTCATGCATTCAAGGAGATAATATCTAGTTACCAAGTGAAAATATTGCATTGATTTCATTAATGGATGTAAAGAAGATATAATTGTCACAAATCTTCTATTAAGCAAGAAGAAGATGGTGATCGTATTCACATACCTAACTAAAGAAACCCTAAGGACTACCATCCCTAACGCCAACAAAAACTACACAATTGCACAAACAAAGACTCATCCCTAACCTGCATAGTACTACAAAGTAGAAGTACAATGATAAATCTTGTTGGAGATTGACAGAGGCTATGCTCTCCATTCTTGGGGAAATCTAGCTGTCATCATCACCGCCACCTTTGGAACCGGAGGTGCCTGACTTCTTGGGCAGGAGGAGGTTGTGGATGTTGGGCATCACTCCTCCGTTGGCAATGGTCACATCTCCTAGGAGCTTGCTCAGCTCCTCATCGTTCCTCACAGCTAGCTGGATGTGGCGAGGGACAATTCTGGTCTTCTTGTTGTCTCTGGCTGCGTTTCCGGCTAGCTCAAGAACCTGATAACACATATCCAGGCTAAATTTAGAAACCCCCATTTCTGAAAAGAGGCAACCCTAATTTGAAGACATTAACAAATCCATTCGGAGATTTATGCATATTTTTAGTAATTATGAACATATCAAATTAAATCTACTTTCATCAATGCTAGAAAAAAAATAAAAATCAAAATATAGGAACCGAAATTAGAGAAATTCAAAACCCTAATATAATTCATCAACACAAATCTGCAATCTACAATGGATGAACCAAAAACTTTAATTCAAAATCCTGAAATTAGAGAAAACGAAATCTCAGAACACCGAAATTTAGAGAGAAATAACCCAAGTACCGTAGAAGCTACGCAGAACAGGTAAAATTCCCAAAATGTAAATTCGAAACCCTAGGCTCCGCAACGAAAATCCAATTCGCGACTCAGAACTCCCCAGAACCCCACCGAATAAAATCTATGAAAGACAAAGAAACATCGTACCTCAGCTGCAAGATACTCAAGAACGGCGGCGAGGTATACCGGCGCCCCAGCTCCGACACGCTCGGCATACTTCCCGGCCTTGAGAAATCGAGCGATACGACCGACTGGAAACTGCAGCCCAGCCTTGCTGCTCCGCGACGTCGCCTTCTTTGCCGCTCCGGACCCAAGAGTCTTACCCCGACCCGCCATGTAGAACACCGTGTGGAATAACGAAAAGGGAAGAAGAGAGGTGAGAGTCGAAGTGGGAACGAGTAGATTCGACGCCGCTTTGTTTGCATTTATATAGCGGATGGAGAGGTGGTTGTGGACCAATAGGAAGAAATCACTCGGATTGAAGCTGACAGCCGTTGGATGAGTGTGGAAGGAACGGTCAGATCACGGATCACCACTTCGCGTTCGCTTTTGAATTTCGTTTAGTTTTAGGAGGGAAATTCGTATTTTTTTCGAGGAATGAAATGACGGAAATAACCCTCGTGTTCTCGGGTGTTTTGAAAACCCCTTTTTTTGCGGTGCGGGTTGTTGAACGGCCACGTCACCGCCAATCTGATGGGCAAACTGCCACGTCGACACCATTATGATACCAAACTGCCACGTCACCATTATTGATATAAAAAAGTGATATAAGAATAAGTTTTTATTAAATTTTTATATAATTTTTACTTACCATTAAAAAAATAAATACATATAATATCATAATTTTTAAATAAATAAAAATAATTAATTATTTAAATGACATATAAAATTATATAAAAAATTAATTAAAAAAATTATCCTTAAATTATTTTTTTATTAATTTGCAAAATATAATCTGTTCGGGTTGTGCGGGGCGGGTTGTTAGACGGACACATGATAGCAAACTGCCACGTCACCGCTATTAACATGCAAGAAATAATCGGTTCGGGTTATACGGGGCGGGTTGTTGAATAGCTACATGACCACGTTTTGATGAACAAAAGCAACGTAAAGAAATAATTTTTTTATATAATTTTTATATATTATTTAATAAATATATATTTAATATTATTTATTTTAATAAGTAAAAATATTAATTATTTAATTAAAGTTTAAAATAATATAAAAAATTATTTTTGAATTAATTTTTCAGTGAGCAAACGGCCACGTCACTGCTATTAACATGCAAAAACTAATCGGTTCGGGTTTTGCAGGGCGGGTTGTTGAACGGCTTTATGACTTCGTTATGATGAGCAAACTGCCACATCATCATTAAAACAATGTCTTTTTATTTTTATTTTGGGTTCTTTTAACCGATGTGTCTTAGCCACATATTAAAAATATTTTTTAATATGAATTGTTATTAAAAAATAAAATTAATATTTATTTAATTAAAATAATACATATAATATTAATGATAACATTAATATTAATTTTTTTTTATTTTTTTATACTTATTAGTAAAAATATATATGTTAATTATACTTTTAACTTATACAAATTAGATAAATTCTTTTTATCTTAATCTTTCAGGTTATTATTTGTTTATGTGCTCTTGGACGTACATTGTGTGACACCAAGTGGCCACTAAAGAGAATCTTCAATAGTCAAACTAATAGATTAACTAAGCAGAAAGTAATTAAAACAATTGTTGAAGTTATTAAAGCACTTTAAAAAAATAATTTTTTAAATTAAAGTAATAAAAGAGTAATAACTAACAAATGAATTAAAAAGGCATGATTCTCATTCAACTATTTTTTTTACTATACAGTTTTATGTAGTCTAAACTATATAAATAAATTTTATACAGAAATTATTAATTAAGTCAATTCATCGAGTTTAACCGTCCACTCATTCCATGAAAAAATTTGTTTTCAACTATTGAGGCCAAGTAACAATTTTCCTCGGATGAAAGAAATAAGTTTTAGATTGATTCGGAAATTTATAGACATGATGGTGAAACGAGTGAATAAAGTTACTTTTTATCGCGTAAATTAGTATTATACTCCATATTCATGTGCTTTCCAATAACTCACAACAAAGTGCCAAGAAAAGTTTTCACAGTCCTTGCTTTTGCTAAAGTGTTTGTCTTCTTGTCTATCCTTTCCTGTATGGGGGTCGCCTGTACTGTGTCAGAAGAGAATTCAACACATAATTTGATGCATTTGATCAAATTTCAAAAATTCAATCTAAATTCTGATAGAGAAAAAAAAAAAAACAGGTACATTTGTTTGGGGAGATTCTAAGGTTGTTGTCTCTCTTGAGAGCCTTGAATTCTTCCATTTAAAAAGCTCACACTTGCAGAGACATAAAATGCAGCACTTAACAAGCCATGTACAAAGCAGGTTATCCCTCCTATGAACAGAAAATGATGGTGCAAAATCCTGCATGACCCTTTTAATTTTGAATTCTCTAGCATTCCCATCACCAATAATGGAAACCCAATAGCCACTACAATCCTGACCAATAAACACAACAAACATGTTTCTTAGCTTCTGATCCTAAATTATAAGATCAAAATAACATATAGCTCAGAATTTGCTTGCAATATTTGTTGAAGAAATGATGAATTTACCAAGAAACAATGATACATGCGAACCATAATTGGCGACTAGAGGATGATCTTTCAAGCTCTTCTGTGAAGCAAAGGCACATACAACCTCCTACCAAATTTTCAATAATATGTGACAAGCCTAGTAGAGTTGATGCAGCCAACCCTAATTTAAAAGCGCGATCATTTGGCTCCTCACACTTAAAATCTTTCAATCTCTTGTGTGTTACCTGCTCGTCAAGATTGCAAATTTGATGCTACTTAAACAATTACATGAGAAGAAATCAAAGGTTTTCAACCCCACTAAAATCCCAGATATATAACCCACCTCATCTTTAGCGATTTCAGCCTCAATGCTTAGAACACCAGCAGCTATATCAACAGCTACAATCAATACACAAACAAAAGCACATATATTTGCCATTTTCTCTGCAAATTCTAGGGAAAAGCATGGAGGAGAGGAGGCAGGAGATTAGAAACCTTTTGTGAAGAATTTCAATGAGTAGATCAGTTGAGAAGGACAAATCTACAGATATTTTAAAGGCGTAATGGTAGCTAAAACCCTATCTATTGCTCTAGACCACTTTTTTTTTTTTTTGTGCGGAGAGGGGGGGGGAGGGCGAGGGGGAATCTTTAGAGTTTAGAGGCACACAGGACACTTGTACATTATTACAGTAAAGAAATTAATTTTTTGGTATTAATCTTAAAAGTTAAACTGTAAACTTGATTTATTGATATTTATTTATCAATAAATTCATATTGTTATTATTAGTTAATAGAAAAAAATAAAATTAATTATCTAAATAATT